TATATATATATATATAGCAAAAATTCAACAAAAGATAAGTCAATCTCAGAAAGTGTGTCGCAGAAATTAAAAAAAAAAAAAAAAATGGTTGTTCGCATAATTATATGATCGATAAGTCTTTCCTTTCTAACGAAATTTGCTATTGCTACTGACTCAAATCTGCAGCTTTATTCGTTTTAACCTAATTCCAATCGGGAATTATTTATAACCCTTAATAAACCGTACCATTCGTTAATTCGAGGAACGGAAAATACAGTACAGCGGTTGGAAATCGATATCTCGCTTTAGGACGAAAGAAAAACCTTGGAAGGGGAGAAAAGTTTAAAAAATCAACTTTTCATTTATGATTTCAGTCACCTTCAGACTAGTCAAATGAATTCTTAAAATACACAGAATTTTCTGATGTACGATACCAATTCATATTCTATTTCCGCCCTCCCCTCTACTGCAAGAAATCATACCTAGGCAGAGAGAAGAATAAGCAATTAATTTTAAACCGATCTTTCGATATTTAGTAAGCCGTTGAGTCGGCTGTGAAGCATGCGCAATAAGTTCGACAGAATGGGGATTTTGCGGGTGAAGGGAGGGAAAAATTGAGAGATTCTTCTGGGAGCGAGAGTGATAGAAGTCTCGCGGATTCATCACTCTTCACGGGTGAGAGCTGTTGGTTCAGCTTGCAGGAGAGTTTGCTACACGTAGGATTTGCATGTTTGCCTTGCCTGTCGCTCAAAAGTGTGAGTATTCTTTTTTATTTCATTCGTATTTTTATTGAAAATTAACATGTAACAGGATTTGCCCTTCCCATATCCCTAGTACAAACTTGCATACTACATTTATTTGGGTCAAATCCACTTTCGGCACAGAAACATCGATTTATTTGTTGATCGAAGATGCCAGGAAAATTTCTCGTTATAACACTAATTCCAAAATTTTCCATTTTAGTAAAATAAGTATGTAGGACACGCGTGATTTTCTATTTCTGTCCTTGTGTATTGATCGAAGCTCTCGCCAAATGTATATCGACGTTTTCTTACAAAGCAAGATTTTTCGTTCAATTCTGCTACAAAAAAATATATATTGATATGTAACAGCGAAAATACGAGGCGTATCTGAATGAAATGTTAATGTTTAGTTTTATTTTCTTACTCAAATAACAAATTTCCAAATAGTGCTTAAGCCTTTTTTTTTCCGTTTTATTTCATTTAATTTATTATTTTTTTTAAAAAAAAAAGGTGTGGAAAAAGTAATTATATAGGCAGACTCTGTTAATTTCCTCCTATATCTTCCCCTGGAACGGCGATTTCGCATTTGGGATCGCTTGGGATACTAGTACACGAGAAATTTTGGCACTGCAGTATGTGCTATAGATCCGTTTTCACCTTCAAAAATCTTTTGTATGTTTGCAGGTGGCCCTTCATCGCGTTGCATTCTTTTCGTTCGCGAATTAAAGAAGCGCCAAAATTTTTTTATGATCGAATAAATCTGTAAAAATGTGTTTATTCTTATTTATGTGTTCGAAATCAGATTATGAAGATATATTTTTTTTTTTCAAAAAGAATTTTGCTAAAAGAATTTTATTGCGGGTAGCTGTAAAGTTGTATTTTTTTAAAATTAGTTTAGACATTTTAAAATTATTTTATTTAGCGAGCTTTAACAATTTTGCTAACATTGGTTTAGTGTATTTTCCTGTTTGGAATTTGTAATTTTATAAAATCTGTAACAATATTTTTACTAAGCCTGATCTTCACATAATTAGTTTTCCAACAATACTTAAACCTTGTTAATACGTAACTTTACAAAGCCATAAATATATCTCGCGTAATAAGTGTTTGAAAAAAAAATTTGCTTATGTAAGACACACTGGAAATTTAATTTTGTGCACTTTCAAGGAAAAATATAACTAAAAACGTTTTTCTTTATATTTGTCTTGAAATTTTATTAACTCCTTTTATATGATACTTTGTTTTAATGATAGACTAAAATCAAGCAGCAATTTTTACAACAATTTTTGTTTAATATGAAGTGATTACACAAAACTGCCATAACTTATTATTTCAATTTAAAATTTAGCTTCTATTTTTAGGAAGCAGTAATTACCATTATAATGAAGAAAATAATTTTTAATAACTTTCTTTTGAAACATTTTAGAGTGCATAAAAAGTTTTTTTTTCTTAATTCCCAAATTGCAAAAAAAATAAATTTCATTCTACCACGCTTAAAAATTTCAATTCTTAAGGTGTTTGAAAATTGTGAAATGTGTCTGAATACTTAAAACTTAAATTAATTTGAAAAGTTAAAACTTTGAATTCATATTTTTTTACTTCATATTGGCTGTTTCTGCTTTTTTAAAAACAATTGCGTTTCTAAGCGTATGTGGAACAGAAAATAAACGTTATTATATTTCAAATCAAATAACAGAGAATTGTTGATTTTATTTCTGAATTTTTTTTTTCAATTTATGAAATATTTTAGACTGAAAAAAAACTAGAATAAACTAAACTGATCATAAATTTCCAACAAAAGTGTTCAAAACTAAGCGATAGTCAAATACAAATCGTAAACATTTACGATTTTGTTCATCCATAAAACTTATTGCGATTAATATCCTTTTATCTTGCTTTTGTGTGTCCTCTGTTTTTGTAGTTATTTATGACAACTACGACACGCAAACATCTATTGAACTTGTTTAAAGTATAGGCTGTTTTCTAAAGTTAGGAAATCCAGTTTTCTGAAATCGTAAATGTGCAAAATAAATATTTAATCACAATACTTGTTAATAGACTAAGTACTGCTGTGAAAACAAATCTAATTTCATCAAGAATATAATTGTAATTTAAAATGGTTAAGAAAAACATGCAATGTATTATGCATGCAGTGTATTATGCATTCATGCAATAATTTCAATTCAAATAAATACCACCGGGAAGCAATTCCAATTTCATTAAAAATCGAGATTTGAAACAGTTAAAAAAAAATCACTGAATGTGTCACATATTACATATTTACCAAAAAGGTGATTTTGAGTAGCTGAAGTTTTAATATTTACTTTAAATTAGATGTTAAAACTTTAAATTAGAGAAACTTATTACGGGGCAAAACTAAGATCTTTCTGCAACTTTACAATATTTATAGATAATTTTTTACATAAACTTTCACTCTTTTCCTGTTATTTTCCTTTTTCAGCATTTCTTAATTATTTAGACAGAATTTATAATTTATGAAGAAATTAACAATTTTATTCTATTCCTTTTTTCTAGAAAAATTTTTTGCAGTAAAAGTGTGACCCAATTTTGGTGCACGTAAGAAAGTGATATTTTTTATGTGAATTAAAAGATAGGATAACCCAATAAATGACTTGAGGACAAATGTTTTATTTTTTTCTCCTTCGTTTTTGTTCGCTATAATGCAGAGATAACTGTTTCGCGAAAAACTTCTTTTCTTCTACAGTGGAGTGTGAAATCTGCTCTACAATGATAATAATCAACTGATTTAAATGCAACGAACATCCCTGTGCGTATCATCATTTGGTCGGAGCATATTGACCCGCCAGACGATCGCTCAGTCCGATATTGGGTCTTCATAAACTATAAAGTCTCATCTTGAATTTCTTCTGAAACGTTCGTGAAAAAAATAAAAATATTTACGTAATGCTATTTTAAGGAGAATAAAATGTGAAAAAAATAATTTGCGGTATTTTTTCTTTTTAACATAGAGTGGTAGTGCTTAGTATGTGATTTATAACATGCCTTCGTAGCAGGAGTATGATTAAGTCTGAGAATATATGTGGAATAAAGTCATTAAAATGAATAACTTAGCTTCCATTTTTTTCCCTTTTTTTATTTTGTCTATGTGGTCTAAAAATGATTCTCGATTTGCGTGCTATTCATGATTAGTTTTAAGCACGGGGGGGGGGGAGTTATCTTCCTGGAAGTCTCATATCGAACTGTTTAAAACTTCCTTCAATGAAATAAAACTTTTCTGGCAATGTTTCTATTTTTTTGCATGGTTTTATTTTTTTTAACTATTAAAGTACAATAAGTATAAGTAATCAAGTATCTTTTGGATTGGTAGATTCATCTGTTATTAAGTTATCAGACAGTGGTGCTATTATTTCTAGCGATTATTTAATCAAAAAAATATGCAACAATAAAATAAAATATTTAAAAAAAATTACATGTTAAGTAGAGAAAGATAAATTTGTCATTTATGTTACATTTCCTAGTACTTCGATACTTTTGTTATTTTGTCCTACTTTAACTATATATAAATA